ATGCCCCCGCCCCAGCGCGACCCCCGGTGTCCCCCCCAGCCGTTATTTCATTTCCATTTCCACACATATCATCATTCATTTAATCCCTTTCTAATTCTTTTCGTTTCCAGGCTCAATTTCAGTCGCTCCGCGCCATCCTGGGCTCCCGCCTCCTCCAACGTCACTCTCCCGCAGCGCGCCCTGAGGCGGGCGGAGCGGCCGGGGGCTGCGCTTACCTGCTGCCGGGTGCTGCCGGGTCTCCGCAGCCCTCACAGCCCGCCTCTTCCCCACACAACCGAGGGCGGCTCCGGGGCCCTGGCACCGGCCAGGAGCGAACACCAGGGCCCGTCACCCCCTGCCCGGAGCAGCCGGGGCTTTTGTCTTCCCCTTAGGGCAGGGCAGGATGTTCCTCCTCCGCCCTGCCCGCTTGAAACTGCAGCCTCAGCACCTGAGGGTAAAAGTATAAAGTGATTGGGGGAAGGGAGGTTGAACTGCTTTTGCAGCTGTGTTGTAGAAATAACGAGCTGGGCTTCCTCCACTCCCTGTTAACCCAATGGAAAGCACAGTCTAGTCACTAAGACTCACTTCTGTGTGAAGGGCAGGATGTTCCTCCTCCGCCCTGCCCGCTTGAAACTGCAGCCTCAGCACCTGAGGGTAAAAGTATAAAGTGATTGGGGGAAGGGAGGTTGAACTGCTTTTGCAGCTGTGTTGTAGAAATAACGAGCTGGGCTTCCTCCACTCCCTGTTAACCCAATGGAAAGCACAGTCTAGTCACTAAGACTCACTTCTGTGTGAAACAGTTTCACCTGGCCAGTTCTGTGTTCTTCACGGTAAGGGTCACAAGTCCTCCCAAGCCTGGCAGTCAGGAGCATTTTTGCTAAGCACAAGAAAGAAAACCTACAACGGGAGAGGGATTAAACTTCCAGGAAAACAAAATCAGACACTAGACCTTTGCTCCAGAAGGATAAACCTAAAAATAACCTGCAGCTACGGCTGCAAAGCACAGGTAACAGGGCTGCCAAGTAAACTGCCAACCTAGTTAAATCCCCATCCTGTTTTAGCTCCCCCCAGCAGTGGGGCAATACAACCCAACCCCAAATCCAGCCTGTAAAGGAAACATCAGGTCTGCCACTTGTGTAAGTCTGATCAGAACAGTATTTCTCAAGTAGCCTTACCCAAAATCCTACACAAGCCATGTTATTCAAATGTTCTTACATTGTTGGAAGCGTTCAAAACATTAAGAACAGATGAAGTAGCACTTTGAAGAAAAGACTTTTAATGTAACACTGTATAACCCATGTATGGACTCTTTAAAAAAAAAAATAGGAAGAAAACTTAGAATGCAGTGAAACCTTAAAGTGTATTCCACCATTGCTTTTATCCAACCATGCTTCTCGTAACCTGAAATTTTAGTCAGTAGCGATGACAGATGGGCACAGAAAGCAAAGAAAAATTAATTTAACGGGATGAAAGGCAGAAGAGGAGAGTACTTCTGAAGACTGTTTCCTCCCACAGCACAAATTTAACAAGTGTTTTCAAGTTTAGTTTAATTAAGCTGTAATTGCCTTCTGTAGAAGTGTTGGTGAGAAGACTGCTGCACAGCTGGAATAACACAGTAAGTTAATTATCACCCTCAATTAAAAAAAAATCTTTGGAGATGTTTCTCCCAGTAGCAAGGCCAGTTTAAGAATTATTTAGCAGTACTTTAGCAGGGGTTTTGCAAATCTGTTACCTGATGAGTTAATTAAAAAAAAAAAAAAAAAGCCACAGCAGGACAAGAACCATACATCAACTACCACTGGAGCATTGCATTTCTCTTATTTAAAAAGCTACACTGAACACAGAATACCATGCATATACAGATATTACCAACTATTTTGAAATAACTGCTCTTCAGCATGAGGGAATTACCAGCTTACCCTAAAAAAGAAGTTTTTCCTCTAGCTAAATAAATGTCATAAAAAACCAAAACCAAAACCAAACAAACAAACAAAAAAAAAAAAAACAAAAAAAAAAAACCCGAAAAAGGTGAGTGTGTTGCCTTTATCAATACAGATGAAAGTGTGTCAACTATAGCGTTCACCCTGGAATCGTGGAGCATAGTTTCTGGCACTTTCATTCTCCTGTGTTGTGATCAAGTCTATAATAGCTGTCAGTACTGCTGTATCCCTGGATTTAGTATCATTCCAGTCCACAGGATGCGGGTTTTCTATTTTTTCTTGTAGAAGATCATCAAGCTCTTGTCTTAAATTCTGGAATTTAAGTGTTTTTGGAATGAAGAAAAAAGGTAAAAAAGAATAAAAAAAAAAAAGAATAAAAAAGAGAGAAAAGAGACAGGCCATTAGAGCTACACACAACAAACAACATTACTAAGCTAAGTTCAAAGCCCTTGGGCCCTCTGTTCTAATATTTACACCTGCTCTTCTCCCAGCAATTCGTTTCAACATTGCTATTTTCAGGATCAAAAGCTGCTTCTCAAAACTGAGCAGTGCTTCCTTTTATGACAGCTGACCACCTCCGTATGTGATGGCCTTTAACATCTATACATACATCCATTAGCCAACCATTTCAGGATTAAAAATATCTGGGTTAAGAAGAGTCAGATACGATTTCTAGATCTAATATTAAACACAGCTCTACTCAGCTTCTCCTTCCTGGAACATTAACTGCCAGCTTAAGAGCCCATCCTCATGTTTCCATATCCATGGGGACATTTCATGCACTGATGAAGTCATGCTACAGCCTCTGCCATGGAGAAGTATAGAGATGAAGCTCTTCAAATGTGTCACTAAGACATGTCTATAAATCCTATAATTCCACACTATGACTCCGAAGCATCCCCATGAATTTTTCAAGCAGAGGCTGCACTGGCTGAACATCACCACCATGTTCTCGACACCTCAACAGGCACACAGCCTCATGCTTTTTAGTCAAGCTATTACACTGGAAACAAAACAAAAAACAAACCTGAGTGCCCACCTGCTCCATAGGCCAAACATAAGGGAGTGCATTACTATTTACTTCTGCCCAGTTTGCCACGTGATACAGACTGTTCAGACTGTGAATTTTACTACCGCATTCACCTACACACCTTCACTAGATCTCTTTTGCTTACTTTGTATATTCAAACTGCTTATTGGGAAAACATGTTTTCATTATCATCTCCCTATAGTGGTAACTGACTAGCTACCACTAGTATCAAATATAGAATTCTCTAAGAAGAATCAGTGTTACACCAAGTCTTCCATCTACATTACTGTTAAACATAGTCACCTTAACTAAGTGTGCTATTCTTGCCGGAGACTGGAAAACAATCCATTCATCCACAGCAATGGTATCCTGATCTTTATCCTTCTGAATGGATATATCTCCTCCAAAGAACAAGAGACAGTACGGAGATACCTCTGTACAATCGTACAAGTAAATCTGCAAGGAGACGAAATGGTACAATCACCCTTCAAAACATCTTAAGCGACATCAGTAACCCTTAACAAAACTCTAACAGAATTCCAGAAGATTGTTTTTCCAGTCATTCAAAAATTTGCAAAACATATGAAGCAACTCGGTTGGAAAAAAGGTACATGAAATCACATGGAACAGTAGCAAAACAGTCCCAAATATAGGCCTTCACACCAAATGGTGAAATCAAACCAACTATTTCACATAAACTAAAAGGAAAAAAAAAAACAAACCAAAAATCCCCAGCATATTCGTGTTACACTAGATTGAAATGGGAAAAAAACAAAACACCAAAACCAAAATTACACCTGTTACTGCCATAACCTTAAAAAAAAAACCAACCAAAACCAACCCCTCCAAAAACCAAACCAAAAGAACCCAACCACAAAGCCACAGAAGTTAGTTATTTGTGGAACAATACCACCAAGTATCACAAAGCATGTAACCTGATGGCATGTAAAAGGAATGAATGACCCAAGACAAGAAAGCTGCAAAACAAATGCACTGGTTCACATCCCCTTGCAACCTTGATCCAATCATATTAAAAAGCCATAAAAATAAGTTACGCAACTATAACACATACACTGCTAGTTCTCATCTTCAAATGGTACACGAGCCAGTTATAATGGAACTCTGTTTCTTCCACATTAACTGATTTAGGATGAATATTAACTGTTCCATCTGTCTTGGTGCAAACTTTCACCCTTAAAAGAAAAAAAAAATTTTTATCTTAGGATTGAAGTAAGATGTTGGAAGATTAGCACAATCACGTCTCAAGTTTAAAAAAACCTCCAATCCTCTACTAGCATACCAAATTCTGAAAATACAAGGACACTCAAAGAAACTTTAACCCTTTACCCAAAAGATTACCACTCACTCTATGGTACAAGTTTTCAGACATCTCCCTCTACACTTAAGAAGTTTGAATTCTTTCTCATATTTATGCCTGTAAAAATCCCTGTCATTCTCTCAAGTAGAAAAAACAAGTGCCACTACTGTTTTTCAAAGGCAGTGTTACTGAATTAGGGTGGGGGAGGCAAAGTGTAACAAATCTCTTGTTTTGAGCATCATGAAACTGAGCATCTCAGGGCAGCAGGCTTACAAGGAGCTCCACCACAGGGCAAATGCACAGCAACACAGTAGCTTGCATCAGGTTTCCAAGCTTACTGAGTCCTTTAGGTGACTCCAGCATGCTTAAAAGGGAGTATCAACCGACTAGCAGTGTCAGCTACAAATGGATCTAAATTTTGCTATATTAAGTATAATTTTGACTAACTGGTTCTTACTCCTTTCATAGAAATAAACCCTTGGGTTTCTTAATTTTGGGTTGTTGTGGTTTTTTTTTAATTATAGGCATAATGATTCCTCTTAGCCTGTTGTTACGACATTACACACCCAGGAAGTCAATCCACATACTCAACCCTCAAATCTGTCTTCACTCTTAAATCATGTCCACAAAGGAGGATATCAACATTCAGATGAGTGTACTATTACTGTTAATAAGAATAAACAGTCTGATAATATAAGCAGTGACAAATCAACAGACCAGAATTTCTGGGCTCTATCATGCCAAACGGTAAGAAAGGCAGGTGTTTCAACCATGGCTTGTTGATGGTCGGACTCCTTTAGCAGCGGTGTTATTGATACACGGTAACATTAACCATGGCACGACAAGGTCACACAGATCATTTCACACACTAGCCAGGTACACAAATGTTAAACAAAGTAAAGATCAACAATCCGAAGCCCTCACCTACCCTTCTCAAAGGAAGTAACCCACAACCATGACTTGAGCTATAAAGGGATATTCATTCCTGCACTCAAGCCTTTGCTTCACCTTGCCAAACTACCCAAAATGCAGAAAATGCCTTGAATACAACAAACATTAAGCCAAGCCCTTACATTTTTCTCTTTTTGCTGAAGCTTGGTCGGATCTTTGCAACTTTTGGATATAAGCCAGCACAGATGACTGCTTTGAGCAACTTCTCATTATCTGTAGAAGACAACAAAGTAAACAACAGAGTTCTGCACGCAGAGAATTCAGCTATCAGAAATCCTCCATTTCCTTCCACTATTTACCTGAGTTGGTATTAGATTTGGGATCCTTGGGGTCTCTGCTATTCACAAATCCAGCTGCAAGGAGATGCTCAGCAAACTGTCCTTTCATGTTATGTAGCATCTAGAAAACAAGAATAGCCCCAAAACGATGCTACGCCAAAAGGCCTCCTGTTTTCCCCACAGATATGACACTCCTTCTTTCATCTGTCAGGTTCTTACCTGAAGTGTATTTGAAGAAAGGAAATATTCCCAGCAATAGTCTTTCTCAGTTCTGAAACCACGACGCCGAGTTTCTTCCCAGCCCTAAAAATTAAATCCATAGCTCAAAGGCAGTTGTGACTGAACACATTAAAAAAAAAACAACTAAGGGCAACAAAAACATGGAGGTCAACAACCAATACAGATACATTTTTCTCTTCAAGAGAGGAAGTAAATCCTTTGATCTCTTTATGTATCTGCAGAACAGAGTAGAAATACAACTTTACAACATTTTGAATCAAAAACTTTCCTTTTCAATGCAAGGAGTGAAATCTAGCTAAGTTAGCCAGAAATTCAGCTTCAGCTTTTTGTATAAACCAAAAGAACAAGAATTAACAACTTCAGCAAGGTAACTATAACATTATGTTTTCCTTGTCACTTTCACAGATATTCACAAGAAATTTGGTTATTGAGCCTGAAGACAAGATTCCTTCACACTAGAAGGGTGAAAATTAATTCGGTTTTATGCTTCTGTAGAAGTCAAGAGAGAAATACTACAGAACACATCCTGATCAGTTTCTTCCTTAGAATAAACCACATCACTCAAATAAAAATTCTAGAAGGAAAACAACATTAAAACATGCCTACCGTGAAAGCATTCACCACAGTTAGATGATCGCTTTTAGTGTTCTTTGACAGTTCCTTTCTTCTTGCATCTGCTACTTTCTCTTTGCCCTAAGAATAATTAGAACCTATAAAATATTCATGACACAACATTTCTGTTTTCTTAATTATTATATATAGAGCAATACTTTGCATGCAACATGAAATTTAATGAAAATTAAAGCTCCTTCCAACATTCTGTAGACAAGACCTCACAGTACATGAAGGCAGTCTTTCACTAATAAAAACGTGATTAAAATGAAAATAAGATTAAAGTGCTTTTAAACTATAGCATCTCAGTAGGTCTGAATATCCTTCTGAGATTCTTAAAATCTGACATGTAATTCTCCTCCTAGAAACTTTACCAGAGGAATGACAAAAGGGTCTTTGAAGCTGAGGCTGGCTGCAATTGTAAGAACTGGATCCAAGCAGCAGAATAAAGCTCCAAAGAGGATCATTTTTCCAATATGTGGTTCGACTGGTAATCGTGCTAAATGGACTCCTAGTGGAGTCAGTTCCTCTTGTCTGTCCAAAGCATTCTGTCAGGAGGAAAAAAAAAAAATAAAGAAGAAAGAATAAACACTGTATTAGAAATGGGCAGGACTTCCTTGAAATAGCCACTAGTCTATCTGGAGAACAACAAAAAGCCTAATAGCTGAAGAATGCAGCTGGCTGTTAACGAGGTATGGTAGGAAAGTGATCAAGCAAGTTATGAAGACATGAAAATGTTTAATTAGATCCAAGAAAATGGCAACCAGCTTTGTGCTTCAAGACGTTTACCAGGCTCAGTGTCTTTCTGGACAAAAGTATGAAGAATTATTAACACTTGAGTGTCTTCCTACTCTCCTGATCAAGCTCCCTCTTAAACTTGTACCTTACCCTTACCTTCTGTCTGCGTTTACTTTAACCTTCATTACTGTACAGCATTGTCTCAGAATACCAAATGAATGCCTGAATTTTAATTTTATCTACACATCCATAGAATCACACCATCCATGTGCGATACTGCTCTTCACCCAAATCAGGAGTTTCAATTTATTGCTACAACTGATTTGTACAAGTAATACCAGTGGTAAAAATGCATCACTAATCTCTCCTTCCGCAGCATCCAAAGAGGCAAAAACATACAAGATCTTTCTCCTGTAAGCCTCAGTTGCCCATAAAAAAAAGTATCTCAAACTCTTCACCAATCCAAGAGGGATAGGAAGGCTTGGTGGATGCAGCCATGAACAGGGTGATACAGAAGCTGTGAGTTAAATAAGTATCTGTAGGGAACTTAAATGCAAGGTGCTAGTATGTTTTGAGTAATTTAGAAAGGAACTACTCTATGCAGCCATAAACATCGTGTATGATCTGAAATTACTTCCTCTCTTCAGTGAAGATATATAGAAGTCTACGCAATACAGTATGGGCTTGCGATGTCTAGACCTGTAGAATCAGAACTGTCTGATAACAAACAATGCAGTAACGTGGTTATAAACAGGTATCTCCTTGCATGTACATTATGTAATACTTTACCAGCTCCATTAGATGATTTATGGCCAACATTACAGCATCACGAGATGGTGGATCCATTAGTTTGCTCAGAAAATAAGCAATTCCACCAAGCTTTAGAATCTAAAAGAAAAAAATTTTTGTTTTTACAAACAAAAACCAAAGACCAGCCAAAACCCTACAGCAATTGGAGAAAAATAGCTACCTACATTTAATAAGCAATGATCACACTAATTTCAAAAGTGTGAATAACTCAAAAGGTTCAGTTCGAATTTCACGAATTAAGAACTAAGGACAAAAATAAAAATTAATGATATTTGAAGCATAAGGATCTATCCTTCATTCAGTATGCATAGACATGGTATTCCTTAGGCATAAAAAAAGGGAAACTCACATCAGTTCCAAAACTACTTTTTACTAAAATTCTCTTAAGACATAATCACACTCATTGGCATTCCCACTGAAACTCCTCTGACTGAATATCTGTGGGTAGAGGAGAGGAAGCACAGTCCAAATTTTTGTTAATAGACTTCAGCTTTCATTTATGCCAGACAACCCTGTTTTTCCTGGGTTTGATGCCTCTAGATACAAGTATGCCTTTTGCAAAAGTTGCTACAATTAGTAGCTTCATGCCTGTTACTTCTGGAGTAACAGAATTTCAACTTGAAGACAACCCTAGAGTCGCATTAACTTAATCTCTCAACCTATTATTCTAATGGAAAAGTAGATAATTAATAGGTTTGAAGATTCATATGTTTACCTTGATTTGTAAACACAGTTCTTCCAAAGGTGTCCTCAAGATCTCCGGTAACTGATAATCATCTAGAAGGCTAGCACGGAGTCCATTGTACAGATGGTAACAGTGGCCTGGCTGAACTCTGCAATTATTTAAATAAATAACTGTACGAGGTTTTTTTACGATGACACTATGATATTATGTTTATAAATAGCTTTCTGAAACATCTCAAGGAAATGGAAGAGGCGTATTCAACTGTAAAAGCCACTTCAGCCTTCTGAAACACAGACCCATCACAGGAAGCAGGCGTGCAGAACACAGTAAAAAAGGCAGGACTTTTCATCTCAAAGATTGCAGCACAATGGAGCACAAGTTAAGTCAGTTCCCTAGATAAGAAACTATTCTTTCCCTGAGAACACCAGAGTTGTGCTAGCATCTGCTGGTGAATATGTGAATAACAAAGTTGTATCTTCAGCCCACATGTGCTCCAAGATTAACGGAAATTTAGCATCACAAAACTTAGTTCTATCTATGCAAATTATTCTTACCTTCCTGCTCGACCTTTCCTCTGCTTGGCATTAGCTTTACTAACCCACTCTGCTGCCATTGTGCTAATGTTGTTCTGTGTGTCAAAGTGAGTTTCCTTTATTTTTCCACCATCTATAACAAACACGACGTCATCTATTGTAATGCTGTTTAAGAAAAAAAGAGGAAAAAAAAAAAAAAATGTATCTCTTCATATTTGCAAGCTTGATGTAGTATTTAAAAGGAGGTTTTAGCTTCTCTCTATCCCTTCCCAAACTGTAAGCCAACAGTCACAAAAATTTGTTTGGAATTTCATTCAGAATTAGGTTACTAATTCTCACAGTTCAAGAAAGAGCTACATTTATTCTCCCAGGTCTAACAAAAGTCACCATATGGGGTTATGAAGTCTGCAGAGAGGACAGGCAGCTCACATTTATCATGCGCAACAAAGACAAGTCATTAAAGTAAACCCCATGTTTTAATTGCTTCAAACAATCAAAGGAAATCTCCTGTTTAGTCTATGAACATTTCTAAAAGTAACGGGTTATAAATGAATGGTACAAACACAAAAACATATATGTTTTGAAACATTAATAGGTTTATATTTTAAACTATGACTTTCATTTATTTTGTTAAGTGTAGAGGTGGTTTGGGTCTATATAGCTAGCTATTTACCTAGTCTCTGCAATGTTGGTAGCAATCACGATTTTCCTTACTCCTGGCGGGGTCTTCTTAAAAACCTGTAATTATCCATGGCCCGTTTACATGTTTGCCAAAACCAAACATATGCTTAAGTAATGTTTTTTGTAGTTGTGAAACAGAACAATAAAAGAAAGGCATACCTGAGTCTGATTAACAGTAGGCATCAATGAATGTAAAGGTATGATAACAAACCTATCTGAAAATGAAAAATCAGTAGAAGATACAGTATAAGCAAAGAAACTGTAATTTTACAGAAAAATCAACTATGCAGAATGGAGAAAATAAGCTGCAAGTAAGTACACTGTTTCTTATTCTGAATTGACAGGTATATGTATCATAATGGCAAGTTCTAAAGTAAAAAGATATAAAGGATTTTTTTATAACGCTATGATGACAAGTTGTATATGAAGTTATATACAGTAATTTGTATTTCATTTTTAAAGTCTCAAAACATTTTAAAATTGCTGAGGTTTAATAAATAAACTCATTCTCAATCTTTCAACAGATACAACTCTGTGGAATGCACACAATATGAACTGCATGACAACTATCTGAATAGTCAAGAGCATAGCTAGACAAGTCATGAAATTATGAGTTATGCAAACAGGACAAATTAATGCATATCAGATTTTTAGTGTCTTATTAAAAAAACTTTTATGGATAAACAGAATTTAAAAGAACTATCAGCAAAGCAGTAAACAGAAGCTGCTGAAGAATCAAGAAAAGAGGAAATGAACACGTAATGAAGAGAGAGTTTAGCTTGGAAGTTATCACAGCTACAAGAAAGGACAAGAGAAAGAGCTGCAGGTCTGAGATTCTCTCTCAGATTGTTCACATCTACACTGAGGAAAATGAGTTATCATTAGCAGATGAAAGATACCACATAAATTGAAAAAAGCTGAACACACTGCAATCACTTTAAGAGGAGAATGGAGAGAAAAAAAAACCAAAACCAAATCCAGTGCAATACCAGCAATCAAATGCAAAAATCAGGAGTTTGCCACTAATGCTACTGCTAGAATTCCAATGTAAAATTTTGGGTTTACCTGATTTAAACATGACTTGTGACATCAAGAGATCATGCAACGTGCTAATGTTGTCCCAGCCTGGAAGAAACACTAGAATTGCACCATCCTACATACAAAAGGGAAGGGAAAAGAGGTTAGAATGAACTGCAGAGAACCAGCTACTTGCACGCTAATAAATACATGTTGGATATGTGGTATTTCAAACCGTGCTGACTGGAATTTGGAACAAAGTTTTTAAGTTTGTTTTCTATGAGAGTTACATATTTATCTCAATGTAATAAATAAAATTTGATTTTAAACATTTTCCTCTTGCAGTGTTTTAAACACAGCCAAGTTAACACTAGAAGACTTGAAGCTGCAAACAAAACAGATATACTAGTTTTACCATTTTCAACCCAGGAAGAGCAAAATACAAAACAACAACTCCTCCTTATTACCCACACCTTAACTGATCTATTATCTGAAATACCAAATTGTTTGACGCTTTTAACAGACAAAATTCTCATTAAGGAATCAGTCATGATGTCAACTCTCCCACAAATGTTTTTCCAACTCAGAAACAAATATATTGACTTCAGATTATGATAAGCTATGTTGTACCTATGGTAACAGAAGTTATTCTTACTTTATGTTTGCCACTGCTTCAGGCATGGGAACTTTCTCACATCAGTATTCTGATAATGTTATTACTAAATAACAAGGTAAGGCACATTTGGGGATAACAATGCAGCTGTATTAACTACTAATCTTAACAAGTTAGAAGTTGGAAGATTCTCCTAGCTAGTTTGGTAAATGTGATCAGACTTTAGCTAGGTTGTGTAAGAATTCAGCCTTCACAGCATCCAAGTCGTATTTAGGTATGACTTCGGGCAGACAAACTATTAAAGCCAACCACACAGTGTAGATAAGGGGCAGTGAACAGACCCTGAAGTATTGCTCTTGTCCCCTCCCCCCATTGCTGTGAAATTAAGAACAGGGATACAGTTGTACACTAAGGAGGTCTTCAGACAGTTTTCTACGCCCGTTTCACAAAATGTAACTTTTACTGCACACTATAAAAGAATACTACCTTTAACAAACAGAGACACAGTCACACAGAGAGAACCAGAAGTTAAAATTTAGCTTGTAATTATACTACTTTCCATCAAATAACCAAAGTATATAATTAATTTGAAGGCTTCTTTAAAAACTTAGCCAAAAGAAAAAAATTCAGCAGTCTGAATCAAAATGGCACTCGAACTTTCAGATACTTATCCCACTTTATCTATGAGACAACCTCTCATAGACACTGTCAGTGAAAGAATTCAGGTTCTTTTATTCCCCTTGCTCAGAAGGGACCATGAATGAGTATATCAAATGTAATTCTAAGTTTTCCAAGTTTCTTCTGTACATTAGTTCTCATTAATACCCACAACCCCTGTTCAAGAAAATGCTTAGACATATGCTCCCCTTTAAAGAGAGATTCTATCCCATCATTTCAATAAACACTGTAACTAACCACATTCTTAACTCAGGGCTTAAACAGTAATTAAATATTTATAGCTGTTAGATTACTTCTCAGAAGAGCAAACCAAGAAATTATTCTTTTATCTGCATGAGAAGCCAAGCTATCAGCTCTGACACTCCCAACAGCCACTAACCACAACTCAGTCACATCATTAGAATGTGAAGACAGGAGACAGAAGTGTACCTCTTCTTCCAAAACGATGTGTCTTATAAGTGCTGCTATAAGATCAAGGTCAACTTTGTCATCATCCATCATTTCCAAGGCATCTATAGTACTTGCTGAATACCTGCAGGCATGGAAAGCACGCACATTGGTACCTTAGTAATATACACAGCCATGCACGCAAGTTTCTGTTATAAGGCTCTGCAATCACACATCTATGTAACCCACTAGCAATCTATTTCTTTGTCTGTTCAACTACTGTACCTCCAATGTGCTCTCAAGATTTAGTTTAGTGCAATTATCATCAGTTTAGAATAACAAATTTAAGAATTACCACGTTATGGCCAAACTGCATCTGAAGCATTTACACAATCTCTCTCCCCACACAGATTAAGTAGGTCCTAACTAATCTGAGTTCACCTGTTTATTTCTCTCTTTCTCACAGCGAGTATAGGAAGCATTTCATTTGTTCAGCCCTTTGACTCATGAAAGTTAACACTATGGAAAGAATTGCCAATTGGTTCAAAAGACATGGTGGGAAAGGGAAGGAGTACAAATGGGATGAGCAGAGTATGGGATAGGCCACAGGAAGATACACCACTGAGGAGTTTTCCCTTAGAAAAGGGAGATAACGCTGAGCCACCTATATTCATTATTATTGCCAAGCTGGATATATAGACAGTCTCAAATGCAGAGGATAAGACAGGAGAAAAACAGGGAGATACTGTTCCTGAAAAATCAGCCAGGCTATCCAATATATCAACTTATCCAGATTACCAAAGTGGTCAAATACTGTGTTTCAAGTGAACAGTCTCTACTAGGTGCTCAAGAGGCAAAATTATTAGGTTGGTTTTAAATCAACCTAGAGGACTATTTAAATATTCTGAGGAAAAGGGGTTTTAATTTTGTTTTTGGTATTTGGGGGGAGGAGTGGTTTATAAACCAGCATACTATTTATTATGTTGATTACAAAACTAAAATACTGAGAGATCTCTCTCAAAGACTGAAAAAGGGGAGAATTCACTAGAAGAAAACTTACGAACAAAGCTGAAGAAGCCTAACATTATGCTGAAGACTGTAATGAGCACCACCAATACCAAGCAACTCCACAGCTATAAGACTTCTTACAGTTTGCACAAGCAGAGGACTCTAATTCCCTGTGATAACTCAAAAGCACTCCAGTGGATGCCAGCCAACTGTACTGGCAATTCCATCATTACTGTTTTCCACAGTAGCAACTATCCCATCATTAATAAAAGCACGGTAATAGAGCACTCATTTATGTTTCTCAGTTCAGAAGTGTATAAAATCTTAATGCCAAAGAGTAACTCTTGAGAACAACCTGCCCCGCAGCTGCCTTAAGTAGTCTGGCCATCGTTCCCTGTAGATTTCTTCTTTTTCTTCTTTTTCTGGCCTGCTTACATGTCCTTGCATGAAGCCCTTCTTCCACCGTGGCCGACGGTCTGTGTTTTCTGGAGTATACCTTTACATTTAAATAACAAATGTAAGTAAATTTCGAAATTCACTTTAAGTGCTTTAAAGCCAGTTGCATAGTAGTTTTCCGGACTATGGACAATATGCTGCACTTTGGCTATACCATGTAAATAAGATTCTTACGTTTCTTTTCTGAAAGAAATCTTAAGTTATAAAACCAGGTACCAACTCCAGTAAGCATGAAAACATGTAGAAAAAGAAGTGTGAACAAACGGAAAGACTAACTTGTTTTAGTAGCCTGAATATTCACCACGCTGAAAGACAGACAAGTTTTTTTTTTCCCCTCAAGCCAGCATTTCCAGATAACTATATGCCATTTTCAATTACTGTAAAATTAAACTTCTCTTGAAAGGTTCACTGTTGAAAAACCACCTAATTCTTGCACAGGTCATTTATACCAGGGTAAATTTTGAGAAGACATAAAAAGAAAAAAAACTAAACCAAAATAACATGTAATGGTGTTTTAAAGAATACACTTACCTCAACTTCTCAATTACATCTTCGAGAAGATATTCCACCACAGGGAAGGTGAACCCAGGTATGTGAATCATTGGACAACTATCTGTTGAGGAAGGCATAACTGTTTTAAAATGGCAAAAAATATGGTACTGAAATAAAAGAGACAATAAATATTCGTCACTATTTTTGCAATAGAGTTGCCAAGTCTACAGGGTTTCTCCATTTATTTTGAAATTCTCACATAAGATGCTGTCGTGGTTTAAGCCCAGCCGG